ACTGGCTCGTTCGCTCTCCCACTCGCTCGTTCGCTCTCCCACTGGCTTGTTCGCCCTCTCGCTCGCTCGTTCGCTGTGCGTTTCGCGCCGGTGCCAAGGAGAGGGGGAAGGGCCGAAACGCTTTCTTTCCTTTCTCCCTCCAAAGGTCCGGACTCTGGCGGCGCTGCCAAGGCCGCTGGTTTTATAGCAGCGGCAGGAAGTGGGGGGGACGGCCCTCTGTGACAGTGGTCCCCTTACCTCTGTGACCCCTGCGGGCCCCGCCCGCCCGCAGGCGGTCCCGGGGACTCTGGACCGCCTGCTCACCTCCCTTGTACGTACGCGCAGGTACACGCAGACAGGTACGCACAGGTGTACACAGGCAGACAGGGACACGTGGTACACAGAATAAGACGCACAAACACACAGAGGTACATGCGCACACACAATGCACACGGGTACACAGGCGCGCAGACACACAAGAACAACCCACCTCCCTGGCTTCTTTCAAACTAAAGCTTTATTGAGGTGTTTGGGTCCTTTCGGCTCCTCCTCTTCCTCCTCCGGAGCCTGGGGGGGGGGTGTCGCGGGGTGGGTGTAAAGCCAGTTTGATCAATACTGATTAATTGGGCCGTGACTGTCCGAGAGTGGGAGGGAAGGAGAAAAGAGTGCCAAGGTCTTAGGGGAGGGGAGCGCTGGCCTCCATGCTGGTGCTGATTTCCGTTCTTTTCACAAAGCAGCGAGGTCCTCACTCACTGCCCCTCCCTCTTCCTCCCCCTTCCTCCCCCTGCCTCCCCCAAGCTCGAACAGCTTCAGGTGAATTCCAGAATTTGAAACGTTTTCTTTTTTAAAGAGTTCACTGAATAAATAAAAGAAGAAAGTGGAAAGAAAGGTCCCACCCTCCCCAAGAGCTGGAGGTCTTTCTTGAACTATTCCCAGGACCCTCCTCCTCCCACCTGCGATGGATGGTGGCAGACCCCAGGCCCACCAGACCAAAAAGGGGCTGGCCTCATCACTTTGGGAGCCGGGCTCTTCCTTATTCTTAGGAGGGTGTCACGATCCCTGAAGGATCCACCTGGGGCATCCTTGGCAGATCAAAGCCGAACCCTCTTCCCTTGAGGAAAGCCAGGATCGATCAATTAGAAAGCTTTAAGAAAAAACCCTTTTCTGTAGGCTGGTGGCAGAGAAGCAGAAGAAACATAGGCTTGGGGAGAGGGAGGTCTTGCCAAGAACTCTTTATTGTAACCCTCACCTGGAGCCGGGGAGGCCGATGCCGATCCCCTCCCACTGACTCATTAAATGTGCGCAACACATTCCAAGCACGAATTAAGAAATGCAAACAGAACCAAAAATATATATATATATATGTATATATATATGTGAGGGCCTGTCTGATGTTGGCTACTGCCAAGTGAGAGTTGTGGCAAGATGGGGTAGGAACAAGATATTAGGAAGTAACCGGAGCTCACGCTCCTGAGGCAGTGGGCAGTGCTATGTGGAGCTGTGAGAAGCTGGGGAAGGAACAGGATACAAGGAAGTAGCTGGAGCACGTACTCCTGAGGCAGGGGCTGTGCCACGTGGGAGTGGGACGGCAGAGAACGAGTTTCCTTTGTCTAGCCCCCTTCCCTAGGCACCACGCTAACCCCAGACGCCTCCTTCCTGTGTCCAAACCTGACTTCCTGAGTCACGTATTCTCCCTATGTGTAGCACTGACCCCAGACGCCTCCCCCCAGTATCTGGGCCCGACTTCCTGCGTCACGTACTTTCTCCTTTGTCTATGCACTGATCCCTTACGCCTCCTTCCAAATATCTAGGCCCCACTTCCTGTGCCACGTATGCTCCCTTTGTCTGGGCACTAGCGCTAGACATCCCCTTCCGATATCTGATCCTATGACGAGTCACTATGGGCGGGCTGAGGAGGAGGGACGAGGAAGGTACTTAAAGAACTGTAGGGACTGGAGCGTGCTCACTTTTTCTCCTGCTTGCGCGCGTGTACTTTCCTGCCTGGCCTTGCTGTGATGATCATTGAATAAAGTTCAGGTTTTGCACCTCTTGGTCGGCTCGTTTCTGGTAAATCCGGGTGACCTCCGAGGACCGGTGAGTATGACCCTGGTTGCCTGATCTGGCTGAAAGAGAGTGCGCGGTTTGGACCGGAACAGGGAAAGGCCTCCTGGAGGAGATGGGATTTTAGGTGGGACTTGCCAGGAAGCAGAGATGAGGCAGGAGAGTGTTCCAGGCATGAGGGACAGCCAAAAAAAATGCCCAGAGTCCAGAGATGGAGGGTCTTGTTGGTGGAACAGCCAGGAGGCCGAGGTCACTGGATCAAAGAGTACAAGGTGTGACAAGACTAGAAAGGGAGGAGGAGCCAGGTTACAGAGGGCTTTGGATGCCAAACAGAACATTTTGTATTTGTTCCTAGAGGTGACAGGGAGCCCCAGGAGTTGAGTAGGGGACTGACATGGGAAGATCACTTCAATGGCTGAATGAAGGATGGACTCAAGTGGGGAGAGAAAGAGGCAGGCAGACCTCCCCCCCCCCCCCAGCAGCTACTGTAATAGTCCAGGAGTGAGGGAATGAGGGCCGTCATCAGGGTGGGGGCCATGTCAGAGAACAGGGGGGGGCGTATCTGAGAGATGTTGCAGAGGTGAAATGGACAGGCCTTGGCTGTCAGAATGGATGTAAGGGGTGAGACACCGGGAGTCCAACAGGGTTCCTAGGTTGGGAGCCTGAGGCATGGGGAGATGGGGATGGACTTTAGAGTAAAAGGGAAGGTTAGGAGGGAGGGTTCAGAAGGAAGGATGACGAGTTGTTTTGGACACATTTGAGTTTCACACGTTTATTGGACATGCAGTTTCGAGATGTTGGAGGCAGCTGGAGATGGGAGGTTGGAGGTCAGCAACAAAGATGGAACAGGGTTAAGTCCCAGCTAAATAAACACCCATCTTTTAGAGGAACGCTTTCCCAATTCCTGGCATCCTACTGCTTTTCTTTCTTAATCATTTCTAATTGATCACGTGAGCCCCTGAGAACTAAGATGGTTTTTGCTTTTGTCTCCTGACAGGACTTAGCCCAGTGCCTGGCACATAGTAGGCACTTACTAGCCCCTTTCTCACTCCAGCCCATTCTAATCTGAAGTCCCTAACTGCCCACATATGAGCCCATTTCCTTCTCTTATTGACACACGGATCTTCAGGCTAGCTGGTATCTTAATGTCCTTGTCAGAACAGCAATTCTGTGGTTTTTGCTCATTCGGCAAAAGAAAATGAGAGGGAGGTGTCAAGCATTATGGCCAAGGAAGTGATGCTCATTCCCAAGATTCTCTTTGGCCATCAAGGGAAGATGTCCTGCTCCCAAAGGCATGCCTTGACCATGTGTGAGGGATGCTCAACCTCTCAGCTCCAGGAGGTCCATCATTCCAACAGGGTCTCAGGGCCCTTCCTTCTAATCCGCCTTGCCACGCTTGCTGTTCATGTTCATCGTCAGTACCATTGGGAGATTTCCCTAGGGATGAGCCTGAGAACTGAAGAGGGCCGGGGCACCTGCCGAGGGGTCACTCACCTGGAAGGAGTTGGACTGGTATTTGTGATACTCGGTGTTGGATTTCAGGTCATCAATGTCTATGGTGGGCAGTCCTGAGATGAGAAGTTCCAGCTCCTGCTCCGTGCAGATGGAAATGAGGCGTTTGGGGATGATCTCATAGAAACCCTCCAAAAAGGCTGCCGACTGTTTTCGGATAGCTCCTGTAGGAAAGAAAAGCCCCAGTGGGCTAGAATGCTAGAATGCCTCCCTATCCCCTTCGCTATGAGGAGAACCTGTTGTTTCTACATTTTAGATTTCCCTCAGTGCTGAAAGTGAGGTCATAGCCAAGAGTGGAAACATCATTTGCCAGCAAGTAAACCAGGCCCTGGTAAAAGTGGTAGTCCTCACTTTTCATATCTGTGTACCTAAAGACAAGCACAACCCGCTATGAAAAGAGGGTGAGAGGAGCTGGGGGGCAGGGGAGCAGCATTGGTCCCAGCCAGGCCCGATAGGGCAGGATGCCCATTTCCTCACCGGACTGACTTGCCCAGGATGTGCTTGTAGAAAGATCGGGTGAAGTAGCACTCTAGAAGCCGGTTGTCACATACAGCCTTGGCCACAATGCGCCCGACAAATTTGAAGTAGCTGAGATGGTTGGGATTGCAGTGGGAGGAGGGATGGATGGTGTAGGTGACCCGGTCACCGGGTGAGGTCCGGAACAAGGCGTACATGGAATTAAACATCTCTCGGGAGATGATCGTGTACTGCTCTCGGAGGAGGCCCCCAGCATCCTGGCCTTCTTCTCCTTCAAACACTATGTACCTGGTGTGGGGGAGATGGGATGTGAATGCCATTAGCACCCCATCCCAGCAGCAAGCCCTGGAAACACTGCCTGCAGGCTCCCCAGAGAAAGTCCCCAGTCCTGGCCCTGGCCCTGCTCCCATGCCCATTCAGGCCACTAACAAATAAGATCATAGGATTTTGGGCCAGAATTATAAGAGACCTAGGAGATCGTCTAGACAAACCCTCATTTGGGAGATGGGTCGACTGAGGGCCAGAAGTTGATGAAATTAAGGCCACTCAGCCAGGATTCAGGTCTTTTAAATCCCTAATTCAGTGCTTTTCTGTTGGCCAACAAAGCCCCGATCTCTTGCAGTGTGGGGTGAAAGTGAGGACGAGGGTGCCTGAGGTGGGGGTGGGGTAAAGATGTTGCCTGAACTCTCAACCCAAATGAGATCACTCTGACAGACATCTACTCCTGGCTCCCATGATCCCCTGAGAGTCTGCCTTTGGCTAAAGGCCAACTGGGCCTCTGCCAAAGAACAGGGTGAACCTCTTAAAATTTGAGGTGATGGTGATTGATAAGCAGGTGCAATGCTGGATGTGGAGGTTGAGGCCTGAGATAGGAAGGCCGTCTCTGCTATTTAGGAGTCAACTTGGAGTCAAGCAGACAAGCCACCTGGCCATTTTGGGGGGGGCGCGGTGGCAGCTCTAGAGATTTGGGGGGATCATTAGAAGTGATTTCCTACATGTTTCCCCAAGTGTCATACTTCAGATGGCTGAAAAGTAGCTGGCGTGTGAGTGTGTGTGTGTGTGTGTGTGTGTGTGTGTGTGTGTGTGTGTGCGCGTGCATTTGGGTGCGGGGGGGAAGAGGTGAGGTGAGCGCATTTTTTCCTCCCCATTCACCCAGTGCCCTCACAATCGATTATTCATTTCCTCTGGGGATTTTCCATGCAGCTCGCGGTAGGAGTCTTCAAACACATGGTCACGGCGGACGTGCACAGCCATGTCTTCTTTCCGGAGTCCCTCATCTAGACGCTCTAGCTCTTGGCGGAAATACCTGGGGAACAGGGAGGAGGAAGACTTCAGTCTGGTCATCCTATGGGAACATGGGAGGGAAGGCAGGGGTGTGGGCAGACAGCAAGTCTGGACTAAGTTAAGACAACAGAGCGAAAGGAACCCCTAACAAGTAGCTGGGGGTTGAGGGCTTAGGAATATATTCCAAGACCCAATTTGTGGGAGCATGAAGGCACACAGGCACCCCCACATAGCAGCCATTTACCATCGCTCCCTACATTTCCCTCAAGTGAGGCAATAGGCAGTGGACTTGGAATAACCCTTCCCCATGGGGCCTAGACCTGCAGACTCAGATCATGCCCATGTATACCCAGAGAGAAGAGGACAACCACGGGCCCTTGAACTATCTGCTTCAAGCCCAGGGTGGCCAACAGGACCCGAAACACAATAACTGACTACCCAAGATTGTGGCATTCTAGGGCTCGTGCTACGTGACAAATTGTAGAATTGGAATGTAGTCTGACCAAGTGTCCCTACCCCCCGCCCCCCTCAATCCCCCGCCTTCATTTTACAGATTGGGAAACTGGACAGTGACAGTCAGTACCGGTGTGCAGGCCAGGAAGCCTCACTACCAGGGGCCCAAGTGCTTTGTATGCTCGAAAGAGTGACTGACACAGATGTGTCCTTTGTCTCCCCAGGAAGGAATCAGGCTCAGCACCCACAGTGGCCCCCACTTCTATACCACGTCACATACTTGCGCTTAACATCGAAGTCGAGCACGCGGATGTAGTCCACTAGGACAGCAAAGGGCCCGTCTGCGAGATGGGTGGTGGACTGGCGTAGGATCTGATTTAGCACAGTGCGGTGAGTCTCTGAGGACAGGGGAGACAATGGGCATCAGGATGGGTGCTTGTGATCTGAGTCCTATCTCCCCTAGCTCCACGGACATGTCACGTGCAGAGTCTGGCCGGGCCCCAGTGATGGAGGCACATGCCCCTTGGCCAAGCTTGAGCTTAAGCCCCTGCTAGGGTTGAAGTGTGTGTGAGAAGGGTAGGTCCTCAGATGTCAGGCTGTCCATCCTCCTTCCCGTTTGGTCTCCCAACTCTCAACTAAGGAAGGGCAGGCTGAAGTTGGAGACATGGGATTCTGTTGCCTGACTCTTTAGGGTAGCTTTGGGGCCAACCTAGGCTAGCATGATCAACTGTACTCCACTGATCCTTCCCAAGGGCATCTAGGGAAGGACAGCTCTCCTCTCCTCCTCACCTGCAAACCGAAGAAATTTCTGTGTGTCTGGGGGCAGGCTGGAGGAAATGTGCATAGATGAGGGCTCTCGGGAGAAGAAGGGGTCCAGGGAAGAGGGGGTGGCAGGGGTCAAAGGAGCAGGGGAGAGTGGCAGTGGCTCATCCTTGATGTGAGCCAGCTGGCTTTCCCGCGTGTCCCCAACAGGTGGCTTACTCTCCCGTTCAGTGGCATGAACCAGAAAGAAGGCTTTGACAGCAGGCTGCAGCACTGGGGAGGGGGAACAGGAAGAAGGGATGAGCAGAGCAGATTACACCTTGGACCAGCAAAGGAAGGAAGACGGGGCCCACTGCCCGGGAGGCCCCATGCGCTCACCTAGCACTGCATGTTGATCATGGGATTCTTCGAGCTCCTTCAAACACTCGCCCAGCATGTCCCAGAGTTCATCTAGGCTCAGCTGCTCACTAAGCAGGGGAAGATCAGGGGGTCTCTCTTCTTTCTCCTTCTCGCTCTGTTGGCTTCCTTCGGAGCCTGGGTGGGAAGGAGAAACACATGAAGGCCAGATACTCCAAAGCCTTCCTGGTGGCCCAAGTGGTCGCCCCTGACTGTCCGGGCAGAACGGGGGATCCCCAAGCACAGGGTCTCGTGTCCAACAGACACAAAAGACCTTCACCGAGTGCCAACCAGACGGCAGTTTCTCGAGGGCTTTTTGGAGCAGAGGTTTTTCTCCAACCAGACTTGGAGGCCAAGTTTTCTTCAAAGGGTCGGATGCACAGAGATGTGCAGGCATACTTTTAAGTGGTAGGCCCTCCCAAAAGGAGATAGGTCAGCGCAAGAGCCCTGTGCCCACCGCTAGTCAAGCCACTGCCACATTAGCCTGGGAATGGGTTGCTCCATACAGGTTCCAAGGCCAGGTCTTCCCATCTCCTTGGGACAAGAGCATGGTACTGACCAATGGACTGGGTATCTTGAGAAGCAGGGGATGGCTGGTCCACATCCATGGGAGACTCATCCCTCCGGGAAGCAGCCTCAGACTGGCTGGACTCCGACTGGACAAAATGGGAGACATGGCTAGTCACCAGGAAGTCTGGGTCCCTGCTTCCTCAAGCAGGGGCCCTTCCCACAGGTAACAGAGAGGATAGTGACCCTTCATTGCCCTTCTGTCAGCATTCAGGACCTGATACAACAGGATCAGAAGAGAAGCTAAAGCTGCCTCAGAAGGCAAGCAGAGGTGCCTGGAGCCAAGCTGTCTGGTGGTCCTTCCTGCACTTTGCTCCATTCTTCCCCAGTACTGTTGCCCTTTCCTCCCCAGCTTGCTCTTCCTAGGGAAAGGCTTGGTCTACACTGTGGTACAAGGCCTTCCTAGACACAGGCTTCAGAGTTCTCTTCTCTTCTTTCTGGGTCAAGGGGGCAGGGCCACTCAGGCATTGGTATTGCAAGCCACCACGTCACCCTCCTGAGCAGGGCCCCCAATCATTTCGGCGCTCTTGAGGACCCAGGGCTGCGGCAGGGTGTGTGTTCAAGTGTGCAGGGCCCCAAGGGGTGCTGTTCAGGGTGACCAAGGTGGCTTGGCTACCTCCCCACTCCTACTCAGAACCCAGAAAAGAGATCTGAGGAAGGTTCAATTAGGCAACTAAGAGGGTCAGGGCTGAGCCCACACAAAGGAAAGAGAAAAACCGAGAAATGAAACTTAACTTCTGCTCCCTAGAAGCATCTGGACATTAAGCTCATGGACAAGCACAGAGTGGGGAGTGTGGTGGGGGTGGGGAAGAAGAACAACACGCGGATGAAGAAAGAAAAAAGAAAATGAACAAATGAGAGGCCCCAGGCATCATGCTAACCGTTGCTGCTTGCTGCTGTCTCCGCGCCCTTTGACCCTCATGTACCATTTGTATAATGGCATCAGCCTCAGCCTCCAGCTGCCAAACAGCTGCCTGGATGCTGCTAGCCGAGCCCAGGCTGGAGGTACCTGGGAATGGGGAGCAGATAGAAGGCCCTTCAGGCTGCAGAAAGAGGGCAGAAGCAACCCCGGGGAAGCCGCAGCGGCTGGTGACCAAGGGGTGTTCCAAGGGCACAGCCGCAGGGCACCGAGCAAAGCCAGAAAGAGTGAGTCCTCACCCCCTCCCCCTACAGCCCCTTGGATGAGGAAATGGAATAGAGACCAACCACCGGCTGGCATCCTGTGCCTCAGCTCCAGACCTGGACAAGGTGGGCCCCTGGCTAAGTGGCCTACCTAGCCTGCCTGTCTGCTTGGCCTTCTTGTTAGCTCTGCGTGTGTCATCTCGGAGCTGAATGATGACCTGCAGCACACGCAGGAAGAACTTCTGCGTGGACGTTTTTGACGTCAGCATGGACATGGACGGCAGGTGGAGCTCTCGACCGCCCAGTGGGCGCTTCTGAGATGCCACGATCACCACATTCTCAGCTGTGTCAAACCTAGGGGGCCGGGCAGGGGGGTGTTTTTGCTGTGCTTGTGGCTATGTGAGTGTGAGAGAGAGAA